TAAAAAAAGTTTACTAAACCACCGTTTGTTGACAAAATGATTTGGGTTGAAAGCATAGACTGTATATATATAAAGGGTTGAAAGTTATACTGTTGTGTCTCAAACGGATAGACTAGGTTATTAATGTATTTGCCTAATAGTTGCTTAAAATGCTACAATAACATTTGCAATTCGTTTTTAATCTGCCATGTACGATCTCTCAGCCACCGTAGTGTCGTGTCAGGTGGGCGTGTCGTGTAGGGTCGTCAATTCGCTTTTAATCTGCCATGTGGGCGTGTCGTGTAGGGGGCGTGTCGTGTAGTGTCGTGTAGTGTCGTGTACTTGCCGCGGCCGCAGCTAGACCATATTGATGATGAGGCAGGCACTTGGTTCTGATTGGCAGTTCCTGTATTTAAGAGCACAGCTTTAAAAGGCCCATCTTTTGCGCAGGTCGGCCATTTTGTCAATCCAGCAACACCCTCACTGGTACGTGGTAACTAAAGGCAAAATTATCTCAATTCTTTTTAAAGTGTGGCTTAGCAGAAGTTATTTTAATGCACTAGAAATGGGAACTTTAGTACTAGTAACAAAATGTATGAAACTAATCCTATGTGTGTCCTCATATCTGTTTGCTGTTGTATGTGCATTGTATAAAATGTTTAAAAGTCAGCAAACGCAATGAGGAGAAACTTGTTGGTGGGTTTTTTAATTAAATGTCATGATAGTAAACTAAATTATTTACGATTATGTTTTAGGAGATGTTTGTGTGTATTTCATATCAAAACCACTTAGACATTTAAGGTTAAACAATTTAAATACTGGGTTTGTCAGCGTTTTGAAGATACTGCAAATTCAGTACGTTTTGCAACTTTGATTGAATGTTCATTGAAATGATTGCTCATTATGTTTAAAACATTATCTCAGCATTATCAATGTAGTTATTGATAGGATCATACAAATATATAAATATATATTTGGGGTTTCGGTTTAAACCTCTATGCCCGATTTCTTGCATCTCTAATCTGACTTTAGTGTAGCCATGTCGCTATGTCCAAGAATAATTTAATTTCCCTTTAAATGTTAACTATTTAAAAAAAAGGTTAGAAATTCTGAAAGAACAGATTTAGGTCAGAAAAAGGGAGATGAATAAACATAGAATGCTGAATTTGAGTGTAAATACATATAATTAAAAAGAAAGTGTTTCACCCAGCTTCTACACAGTCTAACTGTTGTTTTGAGCTGCTCTACTATCATGAAACTTGGTTGACCAATTATTAAAACAGAATTAAGAAAAATATTTCTTCAGACAATCTTTTCATTTTCTTTGATCTCATTCCTTCCTTTGTCAACTCGAGTTAGAGAAAAACTCAGCTGCTCCAAACATACTTACAGGGCAACATAAGTATCTGTATGAGAGCAGTTTTTCTATCCTCAAAATAGCCCTGATAATGTCAGAGTGGTTGATATCAAGTTGCATTCTGGGAAATGTAGGCTCTAGTCCAACATCTTGATGGAGGAGCAATAGCCGCGTTCACACCGGAGTACTTTCACCGTACTTTTCGCGTTTTAGTTCCGTGAGTACCCCTTATGTCGCGTTCACACCAAAAATCGTACTTAATCTCGGGTACTTTTACCCCCATTTTTAGAGCCAGCTCAGAGAGCGTACTTTTCTGTGGGTGAAAAGTGCTCCAAAAGTTCCCCAGTGCTGATTGGCTGGGCGAATTGCAAACCACGCCCGTACAACTCTGAAAATGTTGTGTGGAGACGCCATTGTTTTTCCTCGCTACAAAACACAACGCTCCGTGCGTTGTGTTTGTTTTTGAAAGCAGTTATGGCAAGCATCAAGAAATGATGAGGAGGTGTCGGCGCTTCTGGAGATCTACGCCGAGGAGGCGACCCAGGGAATGCTACTGAAGCCAGTTCGGTAGCTTTCACTCGACCTGGGAATTGTGCACAGCCGGCTAAATATAAAGAAACTCAGGACTACAAACGGCGGATTCAGTGGCCAACGATGACTACCACGATGAAGGTAAAATCAACTACATGCACTGGGGTTTTAATCTGCACAATAATGGTCTCAGATGTACTTTTATTTGCTCAGTAGATCAAGCTAGCCATGCTAGCCATAATAGGCTAACACCGGTCCCGGCTAGCTACATCTAGCTAGCTAGATATTCTCCGCTGTATGAAAACGTTTTGACTTGTGAATAACTGTGCAGTGTTTCTGTAATTTGCTTCACTAACTCATGGCACTAATCGTCTGTTTCAGGCGAGGATGGACAACTCTCGGGATTGGAAACAAGTGAGCTTTGCATTCTAGATCACAGCGCTTTGTCGTCCTCCTTACCAGCAACCAAACGCAAAGGTACACACACTGTAATTTTGTCTTGAAAGAACGTTACGCATCGAACTGATGTTCACAATCATGTTTATTTCATAATATTCATCATATTTTATGTTTAACTTGCCTCAACAACATTAAACAAAGTTCAAGCATACATGAAGCACTCTTCAAAAAGGAACAATCCTCCGTGTTTGAACCTCTTAAATCGCTGCATAGCCGATTTATTTGGACTGGATTATCCCAGAGAGGCCAAACATTCTTTATAACACAGTTTCAGATTTGTGAAACCTTAATTCTATTTGTGAAAATAAAAAAAAGGGAGATTTCAGTGCTTTTTTTACATGTAGACCACATTAGACCAGGTCCTGATCTAAAACCACTATACCTACACTCATCAAATCTGGACTGGATTATCCCAGAGAGTCAAAAGATTCTTTATAACACAGTTTCAGATTTGTGAAACCTTAATTCTATTTGTGAAAATACAAAAAACACATTCCTAGTATGTTGTAAAACTACATGGCGACTAAACTTGTATATTGTATATTGCTTATTTTCCCCTCTTAGGAAAGCGGACACGGGATGCGAATTTCTTTGACACCGCCCAGGCGTTGGAGGACCGGCGTGCCGTGGTGAATGAGTCGCTGCGTGGAGATCAGATGGTGCTGTTCACCAAGGCCCAGGAAACGGAGGACAAGATGCTCACCTCGATGGAGCGCCAGGCAGCAGATGGAGCGCCAGCAGCACCAGGATGAAGTGTGGGCGCTGCGCCATGAGGAAGCGTCGGCGCAGCGGCAGGATGAGCGACAAACTGCATTTAATAACAGTTTATTTGGTATAGTTTTTGTAAATACTGACACACGACACACAACGTTGCACTAAGGTGTGCATGCTGCTGGGAATATCCCTACACCTGGGACAGTTTATTTTATATTGTTATTACTGTTATGACTTTATTTTATATATAATGTTTACTGACATGTACAACTGACACTTTATTTACATTTAAAATTGTTCTATTTAATGTTATGTCTTGAGAGTGCAATAAAGAAAACCGACATGGCGATTAAGCTTATTTCTCCTGACACTTTATCTTTTGTGACCTGTGTAGCATCCTATACATCACATGTAAGTGATTATTCTGATACCATCATGTTTCATCGGTTATAAACTGGCAAAGCTTTATTTGTCATTTATTTATCATCAATGTTGCAACCTTGTGGGGGAATGGCAGGGGCACATACACAAATATGACAATTTTATATAATTTTAAATATTATTTGACCTAAACTTTTAATTCCCCCCATTTCACACAACACAACATGGAGTCCACTATGGGCCAAAACTAACATGTATGTTTGCATAGTGTTTATGGCAGACGGATGCAGTGGGTCTCAGGAAGATATATAATAAAGGTGGGTTTGCTGCTGAGACTCCCTACAGCTGGGAGTTTATTTTATATTGTTATTACTGTTATTATATAGTACAACTGACACTTTATTTTATATTGACAATGTTTACTGACATGTACAACTGACACTTTAGTTACATTTAAAATATTTCTATTTAATGTTATGTCTTGAGAGTGCAATAAAGAAAACCGACATGGCGATTAAACAGATCCTGTATCAGTTTTTCTTCTTCTCTTGTTTTGTAGCGGGTTGCAAACAACTTTAAGGTGCTTACCGCCACCTACTGTACTTGTAATCTTCCCTCAGGGAAAAGTACTCCGGTGTGAACGCGATCTGTACTAAGTACCCTGGGGTTAAAAGCGCCAGGGCTCTTAGTGCCGGAACTAAGTACAGGAAAGTACTTGGTGTGAACGCGGCTAATGTTACATTTACACTACTCCAGGACTCAAATCCAGAACTCAGGATAGAGGGTCCAGGACTCAGGATAGAGGGTCCAGGACTCAGGACTCAGGATAGAGGATCCAGGACTCAGGATAGAGGGTCCAGGACTCAGGATAGAGGATCCAGGACTCAGGATAGAGGGTCCAGGACTCAGGATAGAGGATCCAGGACTCAGGATAGAGGGTCCAGGACTCAGGATAGAGGATCCAGGACTCAGGATAGAGGATCCAGGACTCAGGATAGAGGATCCAGGACTCAGGATAGAGGATCCAGGACTCAGGATAGAGGATCCAGGACTCAGGACCACAGCAACAGGATCAGCCACGACTCAGGATCCCGGCGTAGATAGACACCAAAAAGACATTTGGGGAAGCTGGGTTATTCGGAACATGAGAGTACACAGGTTATGTTCATTTTCCACTAAAGCTCTTGAAATGAGAAATACTTTTATTTCTTAGTTACATCCTGAGCCCATCTATTCTGCATGTGGACATTCTTTGTGCTAAAAAAATATACGCTGAGATTAAAATGTATTTATCAGTTAGATAAAAATTACTCATATCAAATCAAAAAAGTACTCAATATGGTAAAATGTCTACTCGTATAGGTCCTAATTTCAGTCAACTAGAAAAATAATACGTTGGCCTGAAGGTGGCAGCAGATAAAAGGTCATAAGGTCGTAGAAATCACCGTTAAAATGTATACCAAGCACCGAAACAAAGGTGACTTTAACCTCTTGGTTCGCTGCTTAACTACTGCAGATTTTTTAATCAGTCACATAATGAAATAAGTATATTGATATATAAGATAAGGTAGCTAAAAACTTTAGGATCAGACCTTGTTTTTGTAAGGGATTAAATGAACAAATCTTATGTATGATTTAGTTTTTGAGGGATGCTCTTGTGTACCTGGTGGCGGGGGCGGCCCACGATGGAGGGAAGACGGCTCTGGGAGCATCGTCTCCAGCGAAGCCAGTCTTCACCAGGCCGGAGCCGTTGTCACAGACGAGGGCGGTGGTCTCTTCATCGTCACACATGTCTGCGGCTTCTGGAGGAGGAAATGAGGAGGTGGTGAGTTATTCTGAAGCAGATACAGTAGGGGGAGAGAAAAACATGCATGCAAACTAGAATATCGACTTGTTTTCTCAAATAAAATACTGCAACACCTTTCAGTGGTCTCAATCAAAGGTATTTGTTGCCAATTGTATTATTTCTTACCAAAAACGAGTTTGCAGCTGTTTCAAAAAACAACTCTTTTGAATGTAAAGTAATTCACTTTCTGCCTATCGTTATATTTTCTTAAACCCCAGACAGACCTCTGTGGTGTTGTTCTGTTTAAGGAAAACAATTAAAGATGAAATGCATATGTTATTACTATTAATATGTACTAATATGTTATATTTTATTAACTTTCTAACACTTGTGGAGTTTGATGATCAACACACCAACACATACTCCCTGTTCCATTTAAATTGTCACACACTTAAAGGTAGGGTAGGTGATTTTGGAGAAACCAGCTCGAGTGCGCTGGAATTTGAAAATACACAACCGGAGAAAATCTGCCACTTCCTTACAGAGCCCCTCCTCCAACACACACGAACGCGCACATGACCAATGAGGGCATGAGATAAGTTTGTGCACAGATGGAAGGCTGACAGGCAGGTAGGCCATCCAGTTATTTTAGCCGGGCCGGCTAAAATGATTGGTTGTGCTTTTTACAGTACTACGGCTTCCACAGATGACATTTTTTTATGGATTTGTTGTCAAAGCACTTAAGATATTCATTGCTATCGGGATGTTAAGAGCATTCCATGGAATATAACAAAAAGTGTATCTCAAGCCGGTTTCTCAAACTTACCTACCCCACCTTTAAATAAACAGTTGATATTACTTTAAGTAATAAAAGGATAATGACTTTATCTCATGCAGTGTCTGGGTCCTGTTAATACTTAAATCTGAACAACGTGCAACAACGCACAGTTAGAGGACTGTAAGAGGCAAACCGAGGGGAAGTAAAAGGTGAGCCGCTTCTTGAAGTTTCCTGAGCTGCCATGTGTGCTCAGAGACTTTCAGAGATCCTGTGTCTCTGAGCTGCAACCACAGCTTCTGTTCGAGCTGCCTGCAGACATTCTGGGAACAAAGTAAGAGCAAAAACTGTGCACTTCAAACTTTGATATATGAGCATTTTCCTTTTTATCACGTTTTTTTTTTTTTTAAACGTATTAAATCTTATGTGTTTATCTTCCAACAGATAGGCCTACCTGGACAAAGTCATCGTCCTGAACTGAATACCAAAGTACATGTCCCTCTGAAAGACATCCTGACTCCATCTGGTGGTGAATAGATGACATAGCAGCATTTCCTGATGTTGATAATTCACCCTGCGACGGAGGGCAGAGAAAACGAAAGAGGATTTTGACATTGTTGAACAGAGCTGAGACGCCATTACAGGGTGTGAGATCTCTGCTGCGAGACACGTTTGGAGTATATTTGGGGAGAAGTGGAGAGACATTGGAAGTTGGTGAGTCCTGCTATTGAAAATAACTTTACTATCAAATGGCTGAGAAAACCGTTCTTGTTGAAAGTTTCCTGAGCTGCCATGTGTGTTCAGAGACTTTCAGAGATCCCGTGTCTCTGGGCTGCAACCACAGCTTCTGTTCGAGCTGCCTGCAGACATTCTGGGAACAAAGTAAGAACAAAAACTGTCCCATTTGTAAAGAAAATCTTCTAAAGATTTTCTTTTGGTGAACTTTACACTGAAGGAGCTGGCTGACTCATTTGCTGAGAGACAGAAAGCTGGATCATCTGAGACAGAAAAAGGAGAGAAGAAGGTGGAGGTGGTGTGTAGTAAACATCCAGAAGAGCCTAGATTGTTCTGTATGGATGAAGAGAGAGCTGTGTGTCCTGTCTGTGAGTTTTCTCTCCACCAGAGTCACAAGGTGGTTCCTGTAGAAGACGCAGTCAGTGAGCTGAAGGACCTGCTGAAATCTGACCTAGAGTCTGTTAGAAATTAAAATCAATGTTTAATAGCATAATTTAGTCTAAAACATATCGTCAGTTTAAAAGCTGTTTTATTGTGAAAAAACCCAGAAGTTCTCGTGAAATCTCAATGCCAAGCTTTTATTCTGAAAATCCTTCATATCCGGTCAGTATTTAGCATGTGGCTAATATTACGTTTTCTGAATGTGAAGTGAAAATGACATGGAGTGTTGCACACCAAAACCTACGGACTTTAACACTACATCTATAGACGTCGAGATATTATTACTGCTGAATATTAAATGAAGGTACTGTAGTGATCACTGATTCATACACTGGGGTTACATAATTCAATCCGGGAACTACAGGTTGGGGGTATTGTTTCCGCCCGGACATACATGTTGACGGTACCTCCGGGGTACCTACTGTGTGTCCTCCTCTTTCACTTTCTCTTCTCCTCTTTCCTGCAACCCGACAGCACGTCGATTTCTGCTCCCCAATAAAGAGAGATTTGCACCTCCGATGCACCGCCTCCGTCTCCCTTCTCTCTGCACTACATTGGTGACCCTGACATAAGTCTCGCGAAGGATCCGAGACTGAACCGAACACGGCAAAAAAACTCTTGTTTTTTCTCGAAATGCCGGAGATTTTTGGGGACCTCCGTTGCTGCCACGTGCGCACGAACTGAGGCTCGGTGCGCCCCACGGAATGGCTGGGGACGTCGCTCGCCATTCCCGCTTCGTCTCGGCACTGGAAGGCAGCAAGCCTTCCTGCTACGAGGAGACGATGCACGACCTGCTAGGTATGGAGGAACCCGACTTCTACCTCGTGGGGCTGTTTCTTCGGGACATGCGGCTGCATGTCCAGGCTGCGCTAGCTAACACGGCTAGTGTTGAGCCCCACGCTTTGGCCGAAGAAGCTTGCCGGTTCTTCCTGGCCGCCCGGCGATTTACCCCTGAGGTGCTTGCCACTGCTCGCTGCAGCACCTTCCCTGGGGGGGGCTCGCCGCCTAGCAGAGGCTCCGGGGCCGACGACGGCGACTACCGGCCGTCGAGAACGGCTGGCCTCGACTGCTGACGACAGCTAGCCACGACAGCTAACGGCTAGCTGCTACCAACGGCTGACGGTGACTGGCAGCTACCGGCGGCTATCGACGTCCGACTGTTTTTTTATTATTTTTTTTTTTTTTTGTGGTGCCGGAGAGGAGGTTCGATCACGTCTGGTCGGCCTCGTGTGGACCCTCTCGCTATTTCGCCCACCTGTTTTTGATCGTGGACGGGACGACCCTTTGAGCTTTTTCTGGTGCCTGAGAAGAGGTTTGACTATGTCTGGTCGGCCTCGTGTGGACCCTCTCGCTGTATCACCACCTCGACGGCGGTTTCGGACGTCACACACTCCTGCTTCGGCCCGTGGGTGACGCGCTTCTGGACCCCGTCTCGCCTCTTCCCTCGCCTCGGCGGTTTCGAACGCACGCTTCGGGACCCTGCCTGGCCTCTCCTCTGACCGCGGCTCACGGTTCGCCTCGACGGCGCCCCGTCTGGCCTCTCCCCTGTCCACGTCTCCCTCCTCCCGGGGACACGGCTCCTTCCTCCCGAGGACTTCGTGCCCGCCGCCGCTGTGCCTTCGCCTGCGGCCGGGCAGCGCTCCTCCCTGCTGGGGACCACCGGGTTTTTTCCACGCCTGTCCCCTCGTCGCTACACGGCGACCCTGCTTTCTGCGGCCCCCTGACGTCGGCCCGTTCCGGCCCCGCCCCCCCACCCTCCGGTGGGGATGCCCTCGCCTTCGTTGGGGCCCCTACCCTCTCCTGCGGCCCCCTTCCGACGACCCGTTCCATGGCCCGCCCTCCTCGGCCCCTGTGGTGCTTCCTCCCGACGCGAGGATTGTGTCCATGGTTGAATTCTGGGGGGGCTTGTGTAGTGATCACTGATTCATACACTGGGGTTACATAATTCAATCTGGGAACTACAGGTTGGGGGTATTGTTTCCGCCCGGACATATATGTTGACGGTACCTCCGGGGTACCTACTGTGTGTCCTCCTCTTTCACTTTCTCTTCTCCTCTTTCCTGCAACCCGACAGCACGTCGATTTCTGCTCCCCAATAAAGAGAGATTTGCACCTCCGATGCACCGCCTCCGTCTCCCTTCTCTCGGCACTACAGTACAGTTGATCGTAAATTGTTTTCACATACGTGGGCATAGATATATATAAACACTCTGAGGGCCGCAATAGAAATAGGCTCTAAGGCTTTATTGTGTTTTTATCCGTGGTGATGATGTTTGTATCTTGTAGAGCTAATGTGCTCTTCATTTGAACTATCTCCTTATAAACTCAATCAAGGTCTCCCTGGCTGCTCAGACTTTGAGTAACTCTGTGGCAGTGGCGCTCCGCACCTTGCGGGAGATGGGCTATGCAGAGTTCAAAGACTGTGAGGCTACTACAGACTTCATTGAGGTAATACAGCTAGGGATTTGCATCATTGACCAAAATTCATTTTCCAATATTCTACTGTTCTTAACAACATTTGAGTGATTAATTGCTTTAATCCATTTGATCCTGGTGGCATTCCCATTTTGTCATGTCATCACAGGTGAGATATTTCAGATTTTAAGTTTTCACAAAAACGTGAAAACACACCGTTTGTAGATCTTCTGTTTTTGTTGTTCGTTATATAACACAACATTAATACATTAACATTTGAATTGGGCATCGGGAATGATTAAATATTTATGACCATCCGCAAATTCAACAATATGCAAGCACTTGGATAATGTTTATACTTACCTCATACTTATCTCAGAAGCACCCTTATTGTCACATCTCAGATTTACAGGTTTAAAGCAGTGCAGCAATTTCATTTTAAAAAGCACAGCCACAGAGGAAATATAGTTCTATCGCTATTCCTCATACTTGGATGTTTACTATCTGATACCTGTTGACACCCAGTTATGGTGATGATTTCAGTGCTTCCAGTTAATTTAGATATTTGTTTATAGATAACGGACAGGCTGTTTGACATATTGAACAGCCGCAATCCCAGAGCCAAAGGGTTCAAAGCCCCCCTTGGTTCTAGGAATTGGACAAGCACCAGGGAGTTCTTGTCAAGAGCCAGGGGGTACTTGCTCACTTTGAAGATGGAAGATGGCACACCCCTTTACCGAACAAAGAGGTGTTTTAAAATAGTGAATGTTCTGTTGGTGATGCACTGATACATTTTCGCCCCACACAAGTATAAGTGCAACTACTCAACTTTTTAGTAGTCGCCAATACCCAGTACAAATGTATTATTATTATTTATTTATTCTTCGTTAGATGTATACAAGTAGTCAATTTACCAATCATTAAATGATCTAAGGTAAAACTAAGTAGTACTGCTTTGGTGCTCTGACTGAGTATCTAAGATTTGTAACGGTTACCTCAACTCTACCGGTTTCAGTGCATCCCTAAAGTCCATGACATAAGTTCATGAGATGCTCTGTTCTCTTGTTTATCATCAAGTTTATGTGATTCTCTACTATCTTCTGCATCGAGTTGAGATGCTCTGTTTTCCTGTCTGCATCGAGTTCATAAGATGCTCTGTCCTGTCTGCATCGAGTTCATGAGATGCCCTACTCTTCTGCATTGAGTTCATAAAGTGGTACGTATTATACACTATCTTGCTCCAATGTGTTTGCTGTCAGCGAATTTGTCTCTGTTCCTCTGTTGTGTTCAGTTTTTGTTCCCCCAGATGCAGGTGTCAAAATGGTATGTATTGCATGGTCTGCATGTTCGGTGGTGAATTAATTCAAGCAGGTTTAGTGTCCTAAAAGTAATTTTAAGGATCCTAAACCTCACACTGATTATACTTTTAAGATCAGGGATGCAAACTAGTCAGCTTTAGGGTACAGTCCCCTTTTCCCCCCAAAATGTGGCAATGAAGTGAATTGTGTGAATTGTGTGAAATGTGGATTTGTATCTGCCCTGGCAGCTCCCTGAGAAGTGCTGCTCTGGGAGCATTAACTATTTTCACCCTATACCGTATGTGTTTGCATCCCTGCTTTCTTGTCTCCTGTTTTGGTGGGATCATCATAGTAATACAATATTTGCTTTTGAAGGTTCCTCTCTATCCTGGGCTTCATCATCAATATCGACACGTTGATGTTGATGGTTCCTGTGCTGCTTGAAGGACAGCGATATGTCCTGACCTACAGGTTCAGCCAGGACCACTTGGAGCTTCTCTTTAACTCCATCAGAGCATCCGGTAGGGTTCATATTTACCAGCCGCAACACTAAGTGACAGCAAATGCTTGTATTCTTTTCAGTTTGTCTGTCCATATGTTTGTTTGTTTTTTTGGAAAAATGCGGTTCTGAAGACATATACAGTATCTGGAAGTGTCACAGAAACCATTTTGAGTATTAAGAAAAATGTCTGTGTACCTTATCTTTCTTACAGTGCAGACGCTTTTCCGCTTGCTCTTGCCTCTGCTTACTTTTTATGCTGATTTTCCTATTCTTATTCTCTGAAAACTTCGAGCAGCGGCTCCTGGACATTAACTTATCACTGGGACAGTTATTCATCGTAAATAGACGGAGGGTTTCAGCCATATTTCAACATTTTTACGACGACCTCAGTCTTACAGTAGCGTGGCCTAGCAACAGCTAAAGACTGGTAGGCTACTGCATGCTATTTAGCTTAAGCTAGTTGGGAGCAAAATGCCTCCGTTCTCTACAGATGACTTCCACATACTTCTACAGAAGATGGCTGTGTTGGAAATGAAAATGCAACGGTTGGAAGTTAACGTGGAAGTGAATGGACTATGTTGTGGGAATAACACCACTTTACCAGTGTTGCAAAATAATGGAAAAGGGTATGCTAACTCACAGCTAGTTAGCAGCTACAAGGTGTCCAAGGAACAGGAGGGCTGTGTACTGGGTAATAAATCTACAAGTGGTAATCCTCCCTGGAACTCTCTGGGTGCAAAGCCTAAGAGTAAATCATTTCCATGGGATTTGGGAGGACGAATAACAGGCAGAGCCCAGCGCTCTGAAATCTGTGATGCGACCGGCTGGCCTGCATTGTTATCACCCAGGAAGAGTGCCTCTTCAACCCCTATTCATACTAGGAAACAGCCGTGGACAGCTGCTAAAGGGAGAACTACAAACAATCCTCCTAAACCACCAAGTGTGCCAATCCAGAACAGATACGCTCCGCTGACCGAGAACCGGAGATCTCTTTCTGATGACCTGGATAACCTGTCCTCTTCACACAGCAGGGTAAGGACCAATAGCTACTCCAAAAGTAAAAGGCTAGAGGGAAAGCTAACGACTGGGCCTGAAACTCTGATTGTGGGTGACTCTGCTGTAAGAGATGTAAAAGGTCTGTGTAGTAAGAACAATACCAAAGTACTCTGTTTTCCCAAGGATATGGTCTCCGACTTCTCTGAGAAGATCCTGCATATTGGGGCTGAACATCCAACTGTGAAGAATGTGGTACTACATATTGGAACAAATGATGTTGTGAAACAACAGTCAGAAGCGCTGAAAGAAGACTTTAAATGTCTGTTGGAAACTGTCAGCTCTCTAAATGCGGAGGTGTTCATCAGTGGCCCTCTACCGCCAGTCAGAAGAGGAGTGGAGAGATTCAGCAGACTGTTTGCACTAAACACGTGGCTTTCAGCTGCCTGTACTGACCATTCTGTCCATTTTATTGACAATTTTAACTTTTTCTGGGATCGCAGACATCTTTTTAAGGCAGATGGAGTTTGCCTGAACAAGTCAGGAGTGAAATTGTTTATCTCTAACATATTCAACTGCCTGCATCAGCAATCTGTTCCCTCTGCCAAGGACAAGCGGCAAGAGGAATCAAAACAGGAGAAAGACACAACACATCGCGCAGAAAACCCTGAAGAAGTATCACTGCACCCGCCTGAGGAATGTTCTGATTATGGGAGACCTATGACACAAATGGAGGAGTCTCCACTGCCCGTCACCCCCCCTGTCAACGCCTTTGAGGATACTCTTCATTCATCCCCCAGCTCTCTCTACTCTCCGCTCACCCTTTCACCCTCGCCCTCCCCCCTGGAGTTCGATGACCGCATGAAGGCGATATGCAGGGTTGGCAGCATGTCCTTTACCCCCGCCCCTCAACGACGCCCACCAAAATCACCGAAGACAAGCCTACGTCAACCACCTCCCCCCCCTGGCAGCATGTCCTTTACCCCCGCCCTTCCACAACGCCCACCAAATCACCGAAGCAGAGACGCGCACCATCTCCCCCGTCTTCATCACCGTGCCTACGTCAACCACCTCCCCTCCCTTCAAGAATGCATCTGCAGTCTCCGAAGCCTGATAAGGATGTGTGTGTACAAAACGCAACAAACTATTTCTGATATGTGCTGGGTCCAGGCTCAAGGGCATATGGCACTCTCAACTCTTTCCAGCACATGCCGGGGCCCTGCCTGCCAGTAGCTTTGCCGATATCTGTGTTGATAGGTAATAGATTAAGAGCGGTAAATCTGCTTAGAAACAGGAAGTGCTCAAACGTTTGTGTGAGGTTATCAAATTTAGCAGTGATTCCATGTCAGCCACAGCTTGTCACAAATGTTTTTACTGATAGTGTATTTAACAAACTTAAACTAGCTTTATTAAATGTCAGGTCTTTGGCAGGAAAAACATTTTTAATCAATGATTTTATCACTGAGCACAATCTCGATTTTATGTTTTTAACGGAAACTTGGATTGAACAAAATAACAGTGCAGCTGTTCTTATCGAATCAACCCCTCCCAACTTTAGTTTTATGAGTCAGGAAAGAATGCATAAGAAAGGGGGTGGAGTTGCTATTTTGTTCAATGATTCCATTCAATGCAGGAAGACATCTTATGGGGACTTTGCTTCTTTTGAATATGTGGCCCTTCAGCTGAAATGCTCCTCTCGAGCTCTGTTCCTAAATATCTATAGACCACCCAAATACTGTGCAAGCTTTTTTGATGATTTTACTGAACTGCTGTCTATAGTGTGTATTGACTTTGACCGTCTAGTCATTGTTGGTGATTTTAACATCCATGTTGACAACCCCCAGGACAGAGGGGCTAAAGAACTGTTTTTGTGTTCTTGATAACTATGGACTGACTCAGCATGTGGCGGAGCCCACGCACAATAAGGGGCACACTCTGGACTTAATTATCTCAAAGGGTCTGAATATCTCAAAGGTTGTGGTGACTGATGTTGCACTCTCTGATCATTCCTGTGTTTTCTTTGAGAGCTCTATTTCTGTTCACAAAAATGTTCAGAAAGAGGTAACCACAAAGCGATATTTAACTGAAAATACTAGGGAAATGTTTACTCATAATTTTTCATCCACACTCTCCCCTGCTAACATCTCAGTAAATGAGCTAGTAGATCATTTTAATTCAAAAATTAAAAATGTTATAGATACCATTGCTCCAACTACGGTAAAGGAAGTGATTGGCAAGAAAATATCTCCATGGAGAAAGGCCATGACCGTGAGAACAGAAAAAAGAGAGTGTCGAAAAGCTGAACGTAGGTGGCGAAAAACAAATCTCCAGGTTCACTTTGAAATCTATAAAGAGAGACTTGGCCTTTATAATTTGGAACTGAAAAACGCACGACAGTCTTTCTTCTCTGACATCATTGCCAAAAACAAAAACAACGCACATGCCTTGTTTGCTACCGTCGACAGACTAACTAACCCCCCCAGTGTCAGTAGCCTCTGAATTTCTATCCACCAGGGCGTGCAATGATTTTGCCTCCTTCTTCACTGACAAAATTCAGAAAATTAGACAAGCAGTCAGTGCCTCTGCATCAGGTACAGCAAATGTGTTGTCCCTATGTCCACCTAATATCAATTCAAACACCATGACACAATTCCATCAGATTAATGGTAAAAACTTAGAGGACATTATTCAACTTCTGAAATCCTCCTCCTGCTGCCTTGATATTATTCCAACAGGATTTTTTCAAAGATGTTTTTCCTTGCATGGCCTCAGATCTACTTCATATAGTAAACGCATCTCTTCACTCAGGTATTTTTCCAGAGGCCCTGAAAACTGCAGTCATTAAACCGCTCTTAAAAAAGAATAATCTAGATGCTTCAGTAATGAACAATTACAGGCCAATATCAAACCTGCCATTTCTAGGTAAAATCATTGAAAAAGTTGTATTTCAACAGTTGAGTAACTTCTTGCATTTAAATAACTGTTTGGATGTGTTCCAGTCAGGATTTCGTCCAAACCAGAGCACTGAGACTGCTCTTGTAAAGGTCTTCAATGACATCCACTTAAACACAGACAGTGGCAGAACTTCAGTGTTAGTATTATTAGATCTCAGTGCTGCGTTTGACACTGTTGACCACAACATATTACTAGACCGACTAGAAAACTGGGTGGGACTTTCGGCAACAGTTCTAAATTGGTTTGAGTCCTACTTAAAGGACAGAAAAAACTTTGTTTCTATAGGTAAATACACATCTGAGTTGACAAACATGACATGTGGGGTACCTCAAGGCTCCATCTTGGGGCCTCTTCTCTTTAACATCTACATGCTACCACTGGCTCAGATAATGAAAAACAACAAAATAAGTTACCATAGCTATGCGGATGACACACAAATTTACGTAACAATTTCACCAGGAGATTATGCTCCAATTCAAACACTGAGTAAGTGCATTGAACAAATCAATGACTGGATGTGTCAGAACTTTCTCCAATTAAACAAAGATAAAACTGAGGTAATGGTTTTTGGAGCCAAGGCAGAACGTATAAAAGTTAGCGCTGAGCTTCAGTCTGCAATGTTCAAAACAACAGATAAAGCCAGAAATCTAGGTGTAGTCATGGACTCTGACCTGAGTTTCAACAGTCACATTAAAACAGTTACTAAATCAGCCTACTATCACCTAAAGAACATATCTAGGATTAAAAGATTAATGTCACAGCAGGATTTGGAAAAACTTGTCCATGCTTTTATCTTCAGTAGACTCGACTACTGTAATGGTGTCTTTACAGCTCTCACTAAAAAATCTATTAGAAAGCTGCAGCTAATTCAGAACGCTGCTGCTCGAGTCCTCACTAACACTAAGAAAGTGGATCACATCACTCCTGTTCTGAAGTCCTTACACTGGCTTCCTGTGTGTCAAAGAATAGATTTCAAAATACTGCTGCTGGTTTATAAAGCTTTGAATGGTTTAGGCCCAAAATACATGTCTGACCTACTGCTAAATTATGAACCATCCAGATCTCTCAGGTCTTCAGGGACTGGTCAGCTTTCTGTCCCCAGAGTCAGAACTAAACATGGAGAAGCAGCATTCAGTTATTATGCTCCAAATATCTGGAACAAACTCCCAGAAACCTGCAGGTCCGCTGCAACTCTTACTACTTTTAAATCCAGGCTGAAGACTTTTCTTTTTGCCGCTGCTTTTAATTGAACTATTCACATCTTAAACTGCACTGTAACTTTTAACTTTTATCCATGTAATTTTTCTTTTAATGTTTATTTTATTATCTTTTCTTTTTAATGACTGATTTTAAATGCCATTTTCATAATGTCTTCCATTTTTGTAAAGCACTTTGAATTGCCTTGTGTTGAAAGGTGCTATATAAATAAACTTGCCTTGCCTTGCCTTGTGTGTTTGTCTATCCGTTTGCAGAATTTGTCACCACTGTGATACAGTCTGAACTGTATGATAATGTCATTCAACTTAATTTATGTGGAAAAAGATCATTCAGGCGTGGCTGGTTCTAATTTGTCATTTTTTTTAAAAGCATAAAGATATATTGAATATCTGTGTAATATACTTGCATATCTTGTGTTTTTTTAAGGTGGCTGGAATAACAACCCTAATGCCAGCCAGTTCAAGTACATCTTCCGGAAGCTGATGGCCCGGTGTGGGGTTGTTAAACCAAGCAGCAAAGGTAATGTGACGGCACAGGATGACACAGAGTCCCTACCAGCTGTAGCAATGTCCTCTGCTGCCCAGTCCTACCACATCGACACATCTACAAACCTGTCAGCTGTAGATATGTCCTCTGCAGAAGAAGGAGAAGATCTTCCATCCCCGTTTGCTGACATTCCTGCCCTTGTACATGACCACAGCTACCTTCCCACCCGCTTCGATGGTCTTGTGGACAACGCTCTTGTGTACATTTCAGGTAGAGGTTGACCGATAGTGTATTTAGCTTATAACCGATTGTGCCAATAGTCAAAATCTGCGGTGAAAACGATGGGCGATTAATCGGACGATAGTCCAAAAAAAGAAATATTCACAGTCCGTCCAAAATTCTAATTTCCCCATGCTTATTAATTATTATTAATCGGTCCACCTCTAATTTCAGGATTTGTTGTGCGACGGACTTTCAAGAAGCTGTCCTGTGATGTCTGCTGTGCCAGCCTGGTGACGGACGCTGCATCTGCCAGTAAGGACAAGAGCTACCACCTGCTGACTTTAAGAAACAATGGAGGCCTGGTGATTCCGTCTGAAGGCACAGTGAGTGTTGTCAGGGCAGCAGAGTGGGTAATTCGCCAGGCATCAGCAGATTCCAGACGATCACAGCCCATCAAACTGCTAGAGGTCCTCTACATTGTGCGGAAGAGGATAGGTCCAGAGGATGTGTTTTTGCTCGGGGAGCACATTGCCGACACACAGTATGGCATTGACAGTCACCACCATACGCTGTTGACATTAGTTGTGTCCCTGTTTTTTAAGCTAAGGCTGCATCACATTGCAAAAACAACTACTCTGAGCTTACAGAGTGGCAGCATGAGACAGAAGCTCACAAAAACAGTCCTTTTCAAAGGGCATTAGCTCCAACATGTGCACATGTGTTACGTGCCGTAGTGGGTGCTTGTGTGTCTCCCTCTCTTTCCCCCTGATGTTTCTTCTTCTTTGTTTAATGGCGAATCGCTACCACTAGGAGCATATATCGCCACCTACTATGTATTTATTAAATCTTCATGTTCCATGATGGGCCTCACCACCTTCAGTCACAGGTACTGGCTCCTCGATTGTCCTTACACTCTCTGTCTCTCACCCTAAAACCAGACCCTTTCTTTTTAGACTAAAATGTCGGGTATCTCTAGGGTCCGTTTGGTGTTTTTTCTTTTCTGTTGCTTCAGCATATGAAACTTTGTATCTCTCTACCTCCTTTGCCTTTTTCTGCACTTCGCAGCCCTGATACGCAGCACTATGTTCCCCACATATGTTTATGTTTGCTCAGTCTGTCTAATAAACCCATAAAATGGTTGTGAAAGAATACCAAAGCTGAGGCTGAACGATGATTGATTGTTGGTGTGCCATGTGTCACCGTGTGTCTTATTGGTTTTGTGTTATATTGTATTTTATTGTGTGCAGCTGGTCCTTATCTCCAAGACACATTTAAAACAAAATAACCTTGAACCTTGAAGCCCCATCTCTCCCCACCTGCCCCTGCTTCCTACATCCCCTCCACACCACACCAAGTTGTTCTTCTTAATAATAATAATACATTTATTTTGGGGGGGCCGCCTTTCATAACACCCAAGGACACCTTACAGGGCATAGGGGCAATATAGGGAACAATTAAAACAGTGGATTTAGTGAGATATCAGCCGGGGTAAGACAAGACAAACAACAGTAAATGGACTAAGGACACAGGGTACAGGGTACAGTTTATATTATTCTTGGGCTTTTTTCGACTACAAGAACTCGGCGCACCGTGCTGTGAAGTGGTAACGTATTTCAAAGGTTCTGGATTTGTTTACAAATCTAGAAACTCAATACAAAACTAGGACGATATGAAGATCTGATGTCAAAAATAATTGTGATAAATGAGACAGAACTGGCCTGTCTGTGAGCTCATTTTATGTTGGTTTGGTTCTTCTGATAAAGGTGTGAATATCTAAATAATATACCACCATATGCTATTGTCATTAGTTGTGTCCCTGTTCTTCAAGCTAAGGCATTGCTAAATTAACAACTCTTGGCTTACAGAGTGGTGACATGAGACCGATTTTTATATATAAAATATAAATATATTTTTATTTTATAATTTATTTTAAATATTAACAATATAATAAAATAAATGGAAATATATATACACCGGCAAATATTTAATATAAATACCTTGTGTGTGTGTGTATAGCTATTGCTTTATCTGCTTAATGTTATTTTCATATGAAAGTCCATGATTATAAGTATGCAGTATTATAACTACATCTTTGATGTTTATAAAAAACCAAACCGTTTGAAAATTGGTTGAAAATTGAGCAAGCTATGGTTATTTAAATAGTAAACCATAATGTTATGAATGAGAGCACTGCCAGTAGCAAGATGGCGGCAATGTGACAACGTCGGTCTCCATTGGCCAGCAGCGCGGGTGAGTCATCTAGTGTTTATATATATCTATGGGTCTCTAGTGATGGGAATTATGGCTCTTTGAAGGGAGCCGGATCTTATGGCTCCGTTCCTTTCAAAGAGCCGTTCAAAAGAGCCGTTCAAAAGAGCCGTTTTTTTAAAAAGGGGGCGGGGTTACTAGGTTTATCTGCGAAATAATCACCAGGATAATGATTGACTGCATTGCCAGACCTAATGTCAATAATCTGCATTGTAAACATGACACAAGGTGGCGCCATATCCATGTCATTCATGTCAGTGAATGTACTTTGAATTTACCCTCTGCATGTGTTAAGTAAATAAAGTTGCCTTGCCTTGAATGAAATTCACGCAACTCTTAATATTAGTAGTGTGTTTTTAAGTGGCGATGGAGATTATTTGTTGACCCTGCTTTAAAGGATATTTTGCCTTTACAAATGGTGCGCTTTATCACTGCCTGGGTTTTGGTTGAAGTGCATCCAAATGCTGCTGCGTTTTCGCGTTTGGCTCATTTTACATCCGAAAAACACGTCGTCTATCTGTCCAGTACCACTTGTTATGACTTCTCTCTCTCGCGTATTCCGTTAAGACCCACCCCACCTAACTCCTCGTGCTGAAACCTACAAATCAGAGTAGGGGCGGGTCTTCACAGAATACGTTTGGGGAACAAAATCAAGCTTTTTAAAAGGCGAGTGAATTTTGGCAGGCAGTGAGTGCGGACCAACTTTGATTGAACGATAAGAAGAACGGCTCTCACCAAGTACGACTCGGTTCCCCTCGTTCGTACCAAAGAGCCGTTCAAAAGAATCGGCTCGTTCGCGACCGACACATCACTAGTCTCCATTGGCCAGCAGCGCGGGTGAGTCATCTAGTGTTTATATATATCTATGGGTCTCCATTGGCCAGCAGCGTCATCTAGTGTTTATATATATCTATGAGCTATGACGTCAGAAGGAGTTGCCGTAAATGAGAACTGTGTCGTAAAAGTGTTTATAGGATTTCTAAACTAACTATTACAGCTGTTATAAAGTATTTAAATAAAAAGTCATGAAAGAGATAAGGAGGATAAAAGGCTTAAGGAAGTAAGCAAGGAATAAAAAATGTCGAAATCCTCTGTTTCACATTGAAGAACGAGGAGGGCGGTCCCCCTTTCTGCACAGCGGGAGAGAACGAGAAGAGTATAAAGGAGATCGGAAAGGACAACACGGTCTCTTGTCTTCGCTGCAGCCTCCCGAGGAACATCACCGGCTTTGTCTCTTCCTTACCTATGCTTGTTCTTTAACCACGTTACTTAATTAAAGTACCAATTTGAACCTTTTCAGAGACTCCATTAGTCTCATTATTTTAAGTTTCTTTCCTGGGAGCGAGAAGATCACAATTCATCAATAAGTCTCTGAAGGACAAGAGGGACAAATACAAAGGAGTGGAGGAAACATACAAGGAAGTGATTCAATTGTCCGAGAAGCAGCTGCTGTCTGGGAGAAGATGAAGGTCTACATCAGTCCTGTCATTCTGGACCCAAACACTGCAAACAGCTGGCTCTCTCTGTCTAATGGTCTGACCAGTGTGAGACATGGAGACAAAGATCAGCAGTTTCCTGATAATCCAGAGAGATGCACTAACTATGCTGTTGTTCTGGGCTCTGAGGGCTTCAGCTCAGGGAAACACAGCTGGGAGGTGGAGGTGGGAGATCATCCTAACTGGAATATAGGTTTGACTAAAGAGTCAGTTGACAGGAAGGGAAAGAGACGTGCCTCACCAAAAAATGGAATCTGGTGTTTAGCATATCGCAGTGGAAAATACACTAATGGTGCTGGTAAGACTGTCAGAGTGGAGAAGAATCTCCAGAGGATCAGAGTCCAGCTGGACTATGAGAGGGGGGAGGTGTCCTTCTACGACCCTGAAGACATGACTCCCATCTGCACTCACGGAGACACTTTCACTGAGAAACTCTTCCCATATTTCAAAATTGGAAAAGCTGGTGATGCTAAAACTGCTGATATCAAAATCTGTCAAAGTGAGATTTCTCTGTGATGTTCAGGAGTGTTGGTTCAGACTTTATTCTGACTTCGTCCATCTAGATCCTTTTGAAATAATCAAGGTAAAAAACAACAGATGATAATCAGAATTTAATTTGAGTCTGTAAGATTTTAAATGTTAAGAAGATTTGATCAGGTTTTATTTACAGAGTTTTACACGTTTTACTCAAAGTCTCAGTGCAACAAAACTAATCATTTGTTCATTTTTTATAGTTTATCATTTTGTTATACTTTATTATCATGTTTTTATAGCTTTAATGTCATGAGATTGTTTGATTATGTTTTTTGTGAATTCTTGGCTTTTAAGAAATGTATTAATTTTGTATGTCGTGCTGAAACTGCATGAAATAAACCAAACTAACAAATGAAAGCTGTCAATTCTCCTTTTATCAACATCTAGTTAATAATGACACACTATATAGCACTATAAGTCATGAGTTTAACTTTCTGATATTTGTAGGTCTTTTGATGAATTATGTTTAGATATGGATATATTGTTTTACTCTCCACAGGCAAGTCATTTAATACTTCTATTTCATTCTTTCATTGTTGCAATGTTTCTTTGGGACGTTTTTCGTACTGTATACATGGACGATAACATTTATTGTGATTGAAAATGTCATTTTTTTTATCAACCTGAAAGGAATCACAGCTGTAGAATTCAGTTTAGTATTTGTAATGCTGCTTCAGATATCTTATGATTCAATAACCAGCAGTTTGATGCAGAAATGTGTCTATGAACTTGATAGCTCCGTTGTAATCCCGTTTTTAGAGATTTGGGTACGGAGGAAAAGAGAGAGGGTTTTATTTTCTGACGCTGCGTGAGTTCCTCGACACACCGGGGACACATATTTATGTATAGAAGACATCGAAAAGTGCATTTTGCATGATAGGTCCCCTTTAAAGCTGTAATAAACCAGCCTCCTTGAAGAGGACATCACTGAGGGTTTATACACACAGACACATGACTGTCTGAATGGTTTGCTCTGGAGGAGAGTTTTCACTAAAGATGTACTACTTTCACTATCACATGTATTAGTTGTCTAACCTACTGAGTGCAGTTTTCAGGGAGAACATATACAAATGTGCAAAATGTGATCCACATCATAATATGTGATTGCATGGTCACGTTTCACTTCCCGTAAACACCACAAGATGAAGACAAAGTCAAGATGTGTTTAACTGCTGGATCATTTTGAACATTGAACATGTCATTTATTTCACTTATTCACATGGATATTATTGTTTCATGCACAGGTTGATCGATAGCAATTTGTATTTCAATACATATCCTTTACCCCATCCTGTTTGACAGACATACTGTATGTCCAGGGAACCTAAGAAATGAATCTCTGCTGTGGCTCTCGTTGTGGCTTCATCAGGCACAAAGAGTTCAAATCATCTCAAACACATTCTTCAGATTACATTATATCTTAGACGTGAGTCTTTCAGCTCTTCACAGTCTAACTGTTGTTTTGAGCTGCTCTACTATCATGAAACTTGGTTGAACAATTATTAAAACAGAATTAAGAAAATATTTTTTCAGCCAATCTTTTCATTTTCTTTGATCTCATTCCTTCCTTTGTCAACTCGACTTAGAGAAAAACTCAGCTGCTCCAAACATACTTACAGGGCAACATAAGTATCTGTATGAGAGCAGTTTTTCTATCCTCAAAATAACCCTGATAATGTCAGAGTGGTTGATCAAGTTGCATTCTGGGAAATGTAGGCTCTAGTCCAACATCTTGATGGAGGAGCAATGTTACATTTACACTACTCCAGGACTCAAATCCAGAACTCAGGATAGAGGTTCCAGGACTCAGGACTCAGGATAGAGGATCCAGGACTCAGGATAGAGGGTCCAGGACTCAGGATAGAGGATCCAGGAC